ATTTCCATTGGGTTCCCCCCCCAACTCACTTCTCTCACTTTCTATAACAACCTATTAGCTCAATATGTGTTTTATCCTCTCCTTCACTTCTATCTCTAATTCCACTTTCCCATAAAAATAGGGCCACCCATGCCCCACGACACGAAAAAATTCATAAACAATTGCTTTTCAATTGTATTATACTACTTTATTTAATTATTGTATATATAAACAATTGTATACATCAAAATTCATATAAAATAAAATTTAAGATTTTTTAAATAAATAGATTTGGCCCAGTCAACGGCATAGCACACACAGGTTCGGGCTGTGGGACGTGTTGGGCCAACCTTCAAAAATATTCCAGTGGAGAGAGGGACGACCCGCGGGCCAGCACGACCCGTTTTACAACTCTACCAATAAACCATTGGAAAAACAAAAAGGCATGGTTAAATTTAATTTGTGAAATATTTTTTATACTTTCAATAATTACTGATATTATTGAATATTATTCAATAAAGTTTGTTTTTAAAAATGTATTTATTTAAAATAAAGGAAAATTAAAATGCAAATAATGTTTTAAATATAATTTAATAATATAAATAGTATATTATTTAGAAACAATATTATATATTTAATATATATAATTGGGGTCAGGGCAGGGTGTGGACTTCACTCCCAGTCCCTGTCCTAGTCCCTAATCGGTTATTCCTATTAATCTCATCCCACCTTATCCCCGCTAAGGCAGTCTCGATCCCCATCCCCGCCTTGTTAAGAAGGCCAGATAATCAATGGAGATGGGAAAAATTGCCATCCCTACTCTCGGGTTGTGTAGTCCCATAAAGCAATAAGTTTTAAGTCCAATAAATCTTAATATCATTTTCCTGCATCCCATTAGTAGAAATTAAGGCTTAATTTGGAAAGAGTAAAAATACAAATATATATTACATAAATACAAATTTTAAAAATACCAATTACAAGATTTTATACTGTACATATTTGTATGTGGCTAATCAGCTTAAACGCCAATCATTCATATGTGACCAAGCTGATAACTATCACAACCTAATCCGATTATTGAGAATCCATTTAAATTGATCTAAAAAATTTTCTTCTTTCAATTGACAGAGACAGGCCTTAAACGAACGATCAAACCATCTGGTCAAATTTGTTTATTTATTAATCTAGAAGGAGCAGGCGTTGGGTCTAAAATTGCAGACGCCACTGTTGGGCCAATTGTTGTTCTTTCTAAGCTATTTTTCATAAGAAAAAGAGACATGACTTTGTTTACAATCCACATCATGGTTGGTGAGATATGATATCGAAACAACAACTCACCAACAAATTGAAATAATAAACATGATAAACGAATCAAGTGTCATATATTAAAATTTGGTCAAAATTCTTTTCATATCTTATCTTTCATGTATCATAGATTTTCCCATAGAATAAATATGACTGACCGGATGGTATGATCGTTGGTTGAAAGCCTGTCTCCATCAATTGAAGATGATATTTGAACATGGAACCACATATGTCTCCAATTCCTGGTCCCCCCCCACTAACCCACCCATAGACCATAGTGGCTTTTTTCTTTTTCTTTTTTTTTTTGTATTTATTGGGCTGATAATCTCAATCGACAAATGGGAAAGAACTTTGGCTAGAAAATTAAAAAAAAAAAAAAAACACTCCAGTCTGGGCTGTTTTGAAACTTTTTATATATTTATCTATTTATATATGACAAGTTACCTCATTCAGGTAATCACAAATATTCTTTTAACCACAATCATGAATGGTAGTGTATGATGCTTTGATGCTGAGCTGTTTTGAATAAAAAACGGCCAAAGTTTTCCTCCACATGGTTCTCCCAACCCAATAAAAGTAGAAATATCAGCCGATATTGGGGCCTTTCCGATACACTATATAGGGAGTGTATTGTCCTTAGATCTTGTTGGTTCTCTCCTCCAACCTCCTATTTTTTTTTTTCTATCTTGTTCAGGCCAATGACTTCAATCGTCTTGCCACCCCAACTCTAAGGATCTGTTGAAGTGGTTGAACCGAAAAGTTTATTGTTTTGTTGTTTAAACTGTAAGATTCCGTAGACAGAGATCCTAGCCCTTCTCAAACGGCCCCTAAGTAGGTTGAGCTGTCTGTCGCCGTCACAACAAATTTAAAAAAGGGGCCGTCTTTGTACTCTGAATATGAAGCACCTAAAGTAGGGCCTATAAGATTAAGTAGATGGGGTGGTTCTTGACCATTCTTGCATTAAAAATTTTTCTTCCCTGTGAGACTCAGACAGATAGATCACTTGACCAACTATCGTATCACATCCGCCTCAGCTCGTCCCCTGATGGTCTGTGAGCCATTCTACAAGCCAAACATATCCCTCAAATTCTATATCTATATCAATACAGAGAGAGACATGGCCATTGCCATCTCATCTTATCCTTATCCAACACAGAAAGAAGAAAGAAGATTCCTGGCTCGAAATGGCAATAGAGGAGGATAAACAAGAAGCAGTATTAGAAGCTCAAGCTCCTCTTCATGGAGATGTCTTGGAGTCCATCCTGTCTCACCTTCCCCTCATCAACCTCGTACCCGCCTCTCGCGTGTCCAAGGCATGGCGACGCGCTGTAGCCTCTTCCCTCTGCAACTCACCACGTGCCAAGCCTTGGCTCTTTCTCTACATCCAGAGCCGTCGCAACCCATCCTTGATAACTACCCACGCCTACGATCCCAATTCCCAGCTTTGGATGGACGTCACTACGCACACCTCCGACGACAACCACGTCTTCCCGCTCCGGTGTTCCCACCTCAATCTCCTCTACGTTCTCTCTTCCTCCAAGTTCGCCTTCTCATTTGACCCCCTCAATGTAACTTGGCACAACCCTGACCCTCCGCTCGTTTGGCGATTGGATCCCGTCGTTGCAATCATTGGGTCCCGCGTCGTCGTCGCTGGTGGCACCGCCGAATTTGAAGACGACCCGCTTGCGGTGGAGATGTACGACCTTACTTCGCGGAGATGGGAGATGTGCCAATCGATGCCGGCGATTTTGAAAGGCTCGGCGGCCACCACGTGGCTCTCCGTCGCCGTCTCCAACGAGAGACTCTTGGTGCTGGAGAAAGCTTCCGGCGCCGTTTGCATGTTTGATCCGGAGACGAGTACGTGGGAAGGTCCGTTCGATTTACGCCACCCGGGACCATCCGTGTTTTACTCCGTGATCGCCAGCTGTTCGGAGGATCATGTGGTTCTGGTCGGGCTGATGGGTGAAGCTACTGGTACTGACAACATCGTCCAAGGCATTGGGCTATGGGAACTGGACTGCGAGAGCGAGACGTTTGACTGCAAAGTCATCGGAAGGATGCCAGGAGAAATGGTTGAGAAGTTGGTGAATGCCGATTGTTCACCTCTGTCGTCGATCGGGGTATCGACGGCGGGGAACTTGATTTATATCTATAATCCATCGAACCCTGAAGCAATAATGTTCTGCGAATTCACTAACGGCGTGGCGCGTGGGTGGGGCCATATTCACAACTCGATCGTGGATGATAGGAATCGGATGGAGAGATTCGAGTTGACATGCTCAAGAGTAGGAATTGATGACCTACAGAGGGCATTGACGTCGGGGAATCGGAGAATTACCGTTAAGTATGCCGGAAATTGATATCGTTTGGTCGTCGTTACTGCTGTCACTTGCCGTTTGGGAGGAGAATAATTTTAAGTCAGAGGACTGGTTGGTTTGATTGGATTTTTAAGTTACGAAAGCACCGCAATTATTAAGTGGTGAATGAAGAAGATATTTCGATGTGCGGCTGCAAGGTTGTGAGGTTGGTGTAGTGTAAGGCGCGCTTTACGAAGGTCAAATCTATACTCTTGCTAATCGGTCGTTTCGTTGGGACTTGGCAAAGAAGGTAAACGACCAATGAATCTTCCACGTGGCAAGTAATAAATCAGTATTATTGGGGGAGTTTAGGAAAAGTAATTCCAGTCTCCTTTGAATATTTTGCAATATTTAATAAACACATATTTTATCTCTGCCATGGATTATATTCACTGTAATTGTATCCATCCATCTATTAACATCATACCCATTTCCAGAGTGGCATCCAGGGAAAATTCCTGATTAGTACGTACTTTGGCCTAATGGCACTTTTAGGGATGAGCATAATTCGGTTGAAACCGAATAACCGAATCTAAATTTCGGTTTGGTTATTTCAAAAAAAATGGTTCAGTTTTAATTTTAAAAATCAGTTTGTCAAACTTCGGTTTTTTATTTTGGTTGTGAGATTTAATAGCTGGGTTAATCTAAAAAATCAAATTTTAGGGAATAAATTGGTAAACATGCAGATATAATGAACAGCTCAAAGGTTATTAGCCTTTGGTCAAAACCCAAAATCTGAACATAAGGATAACTTAACGGTAATGGATAACCCAAAATCCATTAGTCTTTGACCATCGACCTTCATCTTTCTCTCAACCTCTAAAGACTAAAGCCATGAGTCCCTTGCAGCAAGATTCTAAGTATCGACACATATCGTTTCAGGACCCCCCCCGATATGCTGCTACAGTGGGTGTATCGAGGGTCTGACCGGTTCAGGGTGTAGAATAAGCCTAAACCAGCTCCCCTAAACCAGTTGCAAAGAAAATTAAAAAAAAAACACTAAAAAGCTGTATCAATTCGTCCGATACGCCCATATTGACGTATTGAACGTATCGATATTTTGAACCTTGCCTTGCAGTAGTGAACTGTGAACAAACAAAGTAGCAGCAAACTACGAGTTCCGGTTCCACTACTCCATGGTTCAGCATCCAACAAACTAACTTTTCCGACAATAAGTGATAGAACCCAACGAGTCTTCTTTAATCTTTAGTTTTTTGGTTCTTTGTAGTTCTCTCCTTGATTTTTTTAGCCATTGAAATCTCTAAGTGCAAGTTTTTTTTTTTTCAAATTTTCCCTTTTAATCTTCAATTCTTCTTGGTATTTTTTGTTAGCCACCAAATCTGGACTATGGAAATTTTTAACCACCAGATTCTTCAGTTTTTAAGTGCTTTGCTTGAAGTTTGTACTTTTGTAGTGTAAATTTCATATGCACTTGCACAAATGCATAGGATAGATCGAGAATAGCAAACAGATTCAGTTAAAACCGAATCAACCAAAGTAACCAAAAAAAAATTCAGTTCAGTTTTTGAAAAGTTTGGTTTCGGTTCAATTTCACAAATAGGTATATCAGTTTTTGAAAATTCGATTTATTTGGTTTGGTTTTTAACTAAACAAAGTGAATGCTCACCTAGTAACTTTGGTCCTTGAACTTTAAAACACAATCCAAAATCTGAACTTTCAAAACGTGCCAATCCAGTACTTATCGTTAACCAATCGTTAAGTGGCATTTGAAAAAACACAAATGCCCTTCAAGTGTTCATTCTGGTGACCCCAACTTTTGTAAATAGATGAGACAAGGATATGGGATTATTCATTTTTTGTCAACATTTGGATGGTTAATAAAGAAAATTAGATGACATTCAAGGGGCATTTGYGTCTTTTCAAATGCCACTTAACGACTAGTTAACAACTAATTAACGATAGATACTAATTTGACACATTTTAAAAGTTCAAATACTGAAAAAGTGGCAAAAAGCCCAGAGTACAAAGTACTAATCGGGAATTTTCCCTAATATAAAATTACCCACCCACATGCTTCAAAGGTTGGCTTTTCATGCTTCTAGCTATGTTGAGAGCAAAAGAAAGAGTTAATAAAGAAGATTACGATCAAAATGCAAAAATGCAGAGGACCAAAGTTGATTTTAAACTAGTTGAACATCTCAAGTATAGAAAAAGTTCATTAAGATATTTTTTGCAAGCCAAATTCAGAATACAATTTTTCTAGAAAGTGAACAAAGAAAAGCCCATGTCTTTCTTTACTTATTTTTCTTTAGCCTTTTACTATGCATAATTGGGTTCTTGATGGTAGCACAAATTGGGTACAACCTTCAACAATATGGGGAGTAGGAGTAGAAACAAATTGAGCTTTTTCCGAGCTATTTGAGCTCGACTCGTGAAAAGTTTGATTCGGCTTAGCTTAAACCGAGCTTCAAGCATAATTAAAACCTGATATATAGCTCATTTGCTAATCGTGTCAAGCTCAAGCCTAGTGAAACACATCTTGTGAGGCTCACAAGCCTAATCGAACCTAATATATATAATAAATCATTTTTATTATATGTATAATATAATAAATAATTTTTATAATTCTTATTTTTTATGCAAACTAAAACAATAATTTTTATATATTTAAATTTTTTCTTTTATAGGAAGCTTGGCTCACAGTCAAACTCAAACTAAGCTGAGCTTGAACTTACAAGCTTTTGAGTCAAGCTGAATTCAAACTCAAATCTTTAGCTAGAATTGAGTTCGAGCTCAAAACTAACATTGTTTTGGCAAGCCAAACTCAAATAAATTATAAAGTGGCAAGAGAATCTTGGTAAATACCAAATCTTATCTATGCTTTAAGACAAGGAAGCTTGTGTTCATAAGGATGCCCAAAACATCATCGACTCGATTAATATACCACAAGCCAGATTAAATGGAATGAATATTCGTGCTATGGCTACTAGAAATAGAATATTGAACCAAATTTTTGAGCTTCAAGATCCAGCTCCGGATTGGTCGGCAACTCTTTGAATGAATGTTAGATTGGTTGTTCTTTGAGAGAGAGAGAGAGAGAGAGAGAGAGAGTGAGGGCAGTCTTAATGAACTTTTTATTACAAGAGATATTTGCTTGGATAATACCCTCTATGAGTTTTGATGAATACCAAATGATTTAATTAACACTTTTGTGAAATTGGAAGCGCTCCTCACACCGACCTCACAGCCGCATTCCACCATGTATTCGGAACATCTCCCCTGTATAATAATATAAAATACAGGAAATATACCCGATGTGGGGCTGAAACATGCTGTGAGAAACAGATCCAGACTCTTGTGATACTAGTTGATTGATTACAAGTTTATTAGATAGGAGACAGCCGTACCTACTTAACGTACATGCATACATATTGCATACAGATTGATTGGATTACCTCAGGCCACAACCCTATTTTTCAGGTAGGTTTAGACATAACTTGGTGGGTTCTGATATTGGCTGACAAAGCCCTTTAATCGAATATAAGTGGATGTGTACTTGGCATGACGAGCACCAACCATTACATTGTACAGATCCCCATCCTAAGACCGCAAGTGGAGATGTAATCAGACTGGATTCACCAACATATTCCAATCCAATTATTAGAATTTCAAATTCAAATCCAATCCGGATTAGATCTCTTCCGATACCAAGATTTTCCGTTATCATAGATTTTCCCATTTATCATTAAAATAAAAAAGATTTAAAAATTAACTATTTCAAACATACATGTATTTTTATAACAAACGTAACTATAAAATATAACATATACACCTGTTATTCAGACTCGGATTTTTATATGATAAGATAGGACAAATTTACAGATGCAGGTTTTAATATTCAAATCCCAGTACACAGGTCGGACATATCAGATTTTCAGAATCCATTGCCCACCTAAGAGTGGGTGTAGACAAGTGTCACACCCATCTATGCATAATCGTGTACAAGTGTTAAATGATGACCCGCCGAATTCTGGTAGGGGTGGATTCAAACCGAGCCGAACACCTGGCTATTCGAGCTCAGCTTGCCTAAACAATGCCAAGCTCAAGCTCAATTCAAGCTAGAGACTTGAGCTTGAATTTGGCTTGGCTCAAAAGCTCACAAGTTTGAGCTCGAGTATGAGTCAAGCTTCTTATAAAAAATAAAAATTTTACATATAAAAATATTTTTTTTATTTTACATGCAAAAAATAAGAATTATAAGAATTATTCCTAACTCCAGAGTCCAGAAACCAAAGATCATTCTTTATTGAAAGAGGTAAGGAAGAAGTTTCATGGTGCATGTTCTTTGTGGATAACATTATTTTAATTGATAAAACTAATGAAAGATTAAATGCAAAATTAAGCTTACAGACAAATGCCATAAAAACAAGAGATTTTAAAATAAGTAAGACTATGACATGTAAATTTAATAATAATGGAGAGGTGCATCTGGACTTTTGTGTGATAGGAGAATACCACTTGGACTAAAAGGAAAAGTCTATAAAATAGTTGTAAAGCCAGCTATGTTGTATGGAGCAAAGTGTTGGGCAGTAAAACATATTCATAAAAAGTGTGACAGAAATGTGAATGCTAAGATGGATGGGTGGAAAAACCAGAAAGGATAGGATTAGGAATGAAGTTATCCATAGAAACCTACGAGTAGCTTCAACAAGTGATAAATGAGAGAGTAGACTAAGATGATTTGTTCGCGTGCATAGAAAACCACCAATAGCGCTATAAGAAGTGATTTATTACAAGTGAAAGGGGCATGAAGAACTAGGGGTAGACCAAAAAAGGGCATGGATAGTCGGTAAGAAATGATTTAAGCAGTAATAATTTAATAGTGGATATACCTTTAAATAGAATGGATTAGCAAAACAAGATTCATGTAGCCAACTCTATATTTGGAATAAGGCATGGATGATGATGATTTTCTTGGGAAGAGAGCTGGGGGCCTTTGATACAGATTTTCCTGAAAGTAAGAAGTAGAGCTGGGGAAAATACAAATTTAAACAAGAGACAGGACGGATGATTTTTTTATGAGAATAAGAAATTGCTTACTGCATCAACAGTACAGTCATTTTATATTGACTTGCATTATTTTCGTGCCTGCAGAATTCTATTAGAAGGGGAGAAAACTATGTCCTACCATTCTACTTACACAAGTGCTGGCACCCGAAGCTTCTCCTCAAGGTTTTGCGCAACAGCATCAACGAATTCTTCAGTATTCAAGTATAATTCCCTAGATACTCTGCAATGTCAAAAAGAACCATAAATGTCACAAGGGTGAATATCATTCAGATTAGGTCAATGTGGGCATTGCACTAATTAAAAACACCAGCTACTCCACCTTTGCTACTAATACAGTGAAGACATCTTCCATCAGAAATTGTATGTTTCAATGTTAATACACTATTATCTTTATGTACTATATACTTTCAAGTCGAATTGTCTTATTAAACATAGACACATCCTCGTACACTCAGGACGAGACAGACATTTATAAAGCAATGTTCTTATATATTGAACCAGCAGTCAACCATCTGACCAGGGATCCAGGACCCACATGGAATAAAATCCAACTACCATCACTTCTTTTGGATGATTGTTGTTGTGCTCCTGTAGCTAATCTGTTCAGCCAATACTGGAACTTCCTACCAGGACCAGTGTGATCAAAGCCTTGTTTGTTTGTATTTCTAATCATTTGAAATAACATAGAATTTTGTGTTTTTCTATATTCATGTGATGGGAACATGATTGACTGATGGTATAAAGCATAAAATAACAAAAAAAAAAAACAGTGGTGTTCTTTTAAATTTTCTTCTTCCAATCAGTGATATGCTGGTACAGAGTTGACAAACAATGGGCAAATTGAATAGTCAAGATTGCACTTTCTGTTTAAAAAAAAAAAGGCTGAAATTTCCTGTCCTACCTTGTCCAGCCTAACTTTTTATATTTACAAAACAGAGATTGTAAACTAAGGTTGTGTTCGGTATCATTGCCACTTCTACTTGCAACGTTTTAGGTTGGTCAATACAAATTTTTGAGAAATTGCGTTATCACATCACACATCAGATAACCACTTCCAACTAAAAGAAAATATAGGCATCAGATTGGGTGTTTGCATTTATAGTAGAAACACCAAATTTGGCATTTCCTCAAGAAACAGCAATGGTACCAAACACAACCTTTTTTTTTTTTTTTGAGAAAAGTTTAACCAGATTTCATTAAAATAAAAAGGAGTACATGAGAGGATGTACAAAGCAGGGGAGAACCCCAAAGATTACAAAGGAGAAATCCTATCATTATACAGATTTTCTAAGCAAGCACCCAATTTAGCTAAGCCCATCTGCAATAGGATTAAGTTCCCCCGGAATCCAAAACGTGTTTGCATTTAAACTGTCTAATCCCTTGCTTCTGCCAAATAATGGCTTAACCTCCAAGGACCCCCTTCCTTGTCCCTTAACCATTTGATGGTATTTGCTGAGTCCCCTGCGATGGAAAGATTCTGAATACCCAAACTTTTAGCTATTCTGATTCCAGTTAGAGCAGCCAACACTTCAGCCTTAGTTGAGTCAGTGAAATCAATTGGTCCACTATAAACCCAACAAATGTTACCTCTTTCATCCCTTAAGAATCCCCCTATTCCAGCAAACCCTGGATTGCCTGCAGCACTCCCATCAAAATGTAACATCATTCCTCCTTCATTGAGTGAAATTGGATGTCTTAAGGGAGTCTGAGTGGAATGAAGGAGGAAGAGAATAGTTTGTAAGTTTCTGTTAAAGTCATTGATTGAGAGATCTTGGAACAGCTCTGAATTAGCAGCCCAAAAGTTACAGAGATGGGTAATGTCCAAAAGTAACTCTTCTAGAGTTCTGACGTTCTCAAATACCCGCTTGTTTCTTTCTTCCCAGACACCCCACATAACTGCATGTAACACCATTTGCCAGTAGGCTTTGCCTCTTTTGCTTAGGCCACAACCTTGCCACTGATGAACTAAGTCTTGAATATGTTCTGGGTTGACCCAATGGTAACCTATCAGGTTTAAAAAATGCAGACAGACCTTTCGAGTGAACCTACAATGGATAAGAAGGTGGTCAGCTGTTTCTCCATATTGCAGGCACAAACAGCAAGCATGAGGAGAAATGTAAAGTTTTCCTAGACTTTTCTTCTGAAGGAGGTCATAGGTATTTATTCCCTGTAGACATGCCTCCCATACAAAGAAGCAAACTCTAGAAGGGATGTGTTGGTACCAGATTTTCTTGAAGGGGAAGCAGGATCTCTGTCCACCTGTTGAAAGAGACTTAGAAGAGAACTCACCATTTGGGTGGAGGGTCCACACTCAGGTATCATGGGAAAGGGGGGAGATGTAGACCTCCTTGATGGTTTGGATGAGGGCCACAAGGTCTGAAATTTCTTGGTCCCTTAATGGTCTTCTGAGTTGTAAGTTCAGGTTGTTGTCGGCAGGCAGGTTAGGAATACAAGAGGAGACAGTTGAGTCTTTGTCTAGGGAGAGGTTGTAGAGTCTAGGGAAGGAGGCTGCTAAAGTAGAATTCCCCCACCAAAGGTCCTTCCAGAATTTTATTTTATAGTCATTCCCCAATCTGTATCTAATAAAGGATATTAACTTAAAACTAGTCATCACCTCACCACATTGAAAACACTGATCAGGATATAGCAATAGCAATTAGCAGGAATTTATGAACCTTGTCATACTGACAAGATAATTTGCGAAGAACATCTGTTTATGGTGGGATAGTTATTTAAGGTATTTATATGCTTTCAGTCATCCTGTGGTGTCAGAATTACTAAAAATGCAGCAAAACCATAAATCCCTAACTAAACAGATTTTTCCTTCTTTTCAGAAAAATAAATATAATATTCACTACTTTCACACCAAGAATGAGATACAAGAGTGAAGAATCTATTTTATGGCCAAACTTTAAACACAAAAATGTGAAGAAACAGTTCACAGGTGTAACACTGGTTTCTCATTTCAGAGAAAAGTCTCTTGATGTACTAGAAAATAGAAAGGCGTACTTAAATATAAGATAAAAAGATATTACACAACAATCCAAAGTTCATGAATCAACAAAATGAAAGACCAAATACTAAGAAGACATTTGGCTGCATAAAGGGTGATACTAACTTGGGTCCATGGATCAGAAGGGCAAGATCCTTGGTCATTTTTCCTGTTTCAACTGTCTCAATGCAAGCAGTCTCTAGCTTAGAAACAAAATCCAGCAATTTATTGTTTTTATCAAGTTTGGCCCTGCATAATATTAAGCACTGTTATGAGTACTCAGAACAAAATAAGGATATATAAATCAAGTGACTAAAGAAATAATAACTGTTAAATACATAAAATCTGAAGAACCCAAAAGCAGATCTGCTTACTTTAAAAAGGATAAAGAAAAACTTTCTAAAGTTCGAAATAAATAAACAACCGGCTTTCAGATGTAGGACAAGAAAACCAACAACAACCAGCTTGCTCAATAATAAAAAAGGGGACTACTCAAGAGTAGTAAATTAGGTATATTTCCAAGAACAAACAGCATAAAGTACCTATGCTCAAGCCCCCGTGTCCATGCAAAAATGGAAGCAATGCTATTTGTACTAGTTTCTTGTCCTTTCTGGTGCAACCGAAAATGCCGAGTTACAGTACCATGAGCAGCCTCAGCTTCTAATGTTTTGCTATCAGATGATAACTGCAACACCATATGAAGAAAAGCAAACAGATGTTACTTATTTGTATTTAAACCAAAACAGAAAGTCACCACGAGAGAGAGAGAGAGAGAGAGAGAGAGAGATTTAATACGAACCAAAACAGATGTCATTAGGCCTAGACTACCAAATCCTGCATCAATCGAAGAGCTGGTTAGGACAGGAGAAAAAAGAAATGTTCAAAATAGACCAGAGGTAATTTGAAGGGTTCAATTAACAACTAACATGCAGATGGAAAGAAAGGGTATAATCTAAATAATGAAAGTAATAGGAAGCACCATCTAACAGAGATCAGAAACACTACACAACATACATTTCGATACCACTAATTCCTCCTTTAATAATTAAAGGCTTAATAAACTAAATTGCATAAATAAGAAGCAAAAGAACTAACAAATTCAATCCTTGCTTAACCAAAAAACCAGCATTCACTTACTTAAGTTCTACCTTTGTAGAAGGTGGCTATTACAGAACATGAACCCCAGTGCATTATATCAGTTGAAAGTTGAAACTAGCTCATGAAAACCAAAATAACTAACTCAATCCTTGCTTAACCAAAAAACCAGCATTCACTTAAGTTCTATCTTTGTAGAAGGTGGCTATTACAGAACATGAACCCCAGTGCATTATATCAGTTGAAAGTTGAAACTAGCTCATGAAAACCAAAATAAAACATTCTTTAAACCCCACAAAGGTCTGACGGGGGGAGGATAACCACAATCCCTATAATACCACATTAATTTGAGAATTGAGAACTGACCGGACATCAAAGGAAGGGGGAATCAGGTCAGAAATACTCAAAACCCAGTAGCAGCCACAGGCAAAGATTCCTGTTGAAGAGTCACTGTAGAAATTCTTACTCTGACTTGAAGGTAAACTCACTGGAGTTTCAATGTCCCTAACCAAAAAACCAACCCAGAGGCTGAACCACTTTTTGTCTACAGGTCACAGGTTCAACCATCCGGGTCAGACAGGTCAGACTGTGGCATCTCATCAACTTAAATAAAAAATAGATATACATAAATGTGTGTGTGTGTATAAACATGTATTTTATCAATTAAATAATTTACAATGCTATATGAGCATCTAAATGTTACATCTTTGACACCTCTACTGCTAAATCTTCATTAGAAGTTTAAAAAATAGAAGTTTAATGGATTAAAGTATCAAAAAGCAGTCACCTTGAGCAAGTAAATCACTCTGGACATCCCCATCATAGTTTTTGCAAGCCCAAACATATCCACCTTCGCTTTTTATTGCATAGGCCACCATGTCATCAATAAGTCGATGCTCATACCTGAATGTTAGATAAAAATTTCCATTAACCATTAAAAATGTCTCTAAAATTTAAGCAAGAAATCAGAGTCAATTATGTGAACTGACCATATAGAATGCTCCTCAAATTTCGGCTTCCATTTCGTTTCGTATACCTCTTGGAATATATCCTTAAACCTGTAATAGGCACATTTTTGTGAAGGTCATGTGCAATCTTTAATGATAGAAAACCCAAACTAAACCATACATGCAGTAAACCATCTATAACTCAAAGTTACCTGCCATCATATGCCTTGAGGATTGTGTTTTTCGTGCTCAAGTAAAGAGGCCATCTCTTTTCATATGCCATTGACATTGATGATTCAGCAAATGCTCGAATAGACTGATAATTTGAACATGTTAAAATCATACCAAGATAAAATACAATTTAAGTTTCTAAACAAGATTGTGGTACAACAAACCTCATCAACGTTGTACATAGCCAATGCAACTCCAGGACCCTTAAAATCATAAACATCAAGCTCCACTGGCATGTCTCCTTCTGTTGGCACTTACACCCACAAGAAACAAGAATGAAATGAGCAATTAGGAAGTGACCCTAATAATTGACAATTAAGCATTTATAATTCTCAAAAAATGATGAAAACAGTTTAAACCAGATTACCAAAAACCAATTTAAGCTTTCCCGGTCCCTTGATGACCATATCAGTAGCACGATACTGATCACCAAATGCATGCCTACCAATGCAGATGGGTTTCTTCCAGCCTGTAAACTTGACTAAGTTAGGAATAATATCCGTACTATTTCAGTATCTTCAAGTTAAGGATGGACTTAAAACATTACCAGGAACTATCCTGGGAATATTCCGGCAAAGGATTGGTTCACGGAAAACGGTACCTGCAAAAAGAATTTATCCACCATTATTTTTGAAGTAGAAAAAAAAAATCCTTAAAAACATTAGATGCTTTTAACTCAGGCAAAGAAAAGTTCTGATGAACATCAAATGAACTCAATTATGGCAAAACTCCATATATGTTCCTTGGTGATGGAAGTTCTTTATAGCAAGTTCATCAAGCTGTATTTGTAAATAAAAACATTGAAAACAAAAAAGTCAGATATATTGATTAGTTCTTCTCTCATAAATGGAAAATAATGCCAAAAGAGGAAAACAGAATAGGATCATGAATGCCAGATGGTGTTTTATTAATATTTCTAAAACAGGTCAAAATGCTAAAGGCACTGCATCATCTGCACATGGTTAATCAGACAAAACTATTAGGAAGCATATACATGTATAAGTATCACACATCAAATGAGGAAGGAAAAATATTACTTCCTACTGGGTTGTAGATAAAACCTTAAAAATCCTTCAAAAGCATCATGCAACGCACCAAGTTTCTCTTAATATTGCCAATACCTCTCCTTCCAGGTGCAACATCATAAAGCAAAAGGAAACTCTTAAGATAGTTCCATGCCTATTGAAACCTAGCACCAGCTGCGAGGAGCTAAAAGCATGGGCATATATCTTGGAATAATTCATTGTCTCTTGAAAATCCACAGAAAATGGATACCATAGTTTGTAGATGAAAGCACAGTGAAGCCCTCACTCTAGACATTAGATATTGATGGTCAGAACCTTATTTAGAGTTCCAGTCCACATGAAGAAAGAAAATTTTGACAGAACATGAGCCTCTAAAATCCATATACACAGAAAATAATAATCAGAAGGGCCAAAGAGAGAACCATAGGGCTTGACTTTATTTTCATGTTCTTGGAGTAGTTCTTGGATGCACCATTCATAATAAATACCATATTTGCTTTATATAGTAAATCATGGCTTACTATTTTTAGTAAGCCCTGGATTTAACTGAGGATTATTTAGGTTTAATATATGTCATTTGAGGAGTTGAACTAATTTGTTTAGTGTGTCTGTGTAATCTGCAATAGGAGTGGCATCAAACAGAAACCCTTATTATAAGTCAATTCTAAATGAATTAATAGTTGTTTGATTCTAAGTTTTACCCATAGTGGAACCTGCAAAGATCAACAGAAAGAATTCACTGGTTTAACTAATAAATAGAATGAGTTTTATGTTTTCTGCTGTATTCCTTTGGATGCACTACTTTATCCAACAACGAGAATGAGTTTTATGTTTTGTGCTTTCTGTGAGAAGCCAACATAGTTGAGGTGCTAATGCCTTCAAACTCTAGGTGGATACCTATGAGTTCTTATTGGAGCTGTTCTCTCTTTTAATTCTTCATTGTTGCTGCTGAAAGTTAGCTCCTCAGTAAAACAACCAATTTCTACCTTTTCAGCCCTAAAACAACCCTACAAACCCTAGCCATCCTACCAATTCATCCCCCAACCTGCAGCCTCAATTCCCAGTCATCTCCTTTTGAAAAGCTTTCCCTTGACAATATCGTTTTCTCCCAATTTCAGTGCATAATCCAACGCTTGGACACCATTAACAACACAGGTTTCCCCCTAGCTTCCAATTAGATATTACCCTATATTGTTAATCTCTACAACAATTTTAAGGTTCTCTCTACCATCAGGCACTACCAGTCTACCATGATAAAAGTCACATGACAGTATGAAACCAACAAGGCTAAAGTATCTTGTTCAATTCTCCTGCTTAAAGAAGGAAGGAGATTGATTCCAAATTGACAGTGTCCTATGAAATGGTGAATTTTGACATTTTTGTAAAAAATGTAGCATCAATTGATATTTGCTCATATTTTATTGGGAAAGAAAAGTCCCTTCAACCACTGTTGTATTGAACACTCAGTTATAGAATTATTTGGAAAATCAAAAAGAAAGAAGAAATAGTATGCAAATATTCAGCTGCTTACCATAATTTTTGAAGATTTTGGCAATAACAATTGACAACAGGCACTAATACTTTGTGGGCATAACCATACCATACAATATTCTTCTTCAGAAAACAAACATCTCCAATACAAGCACATATGACTAGCCTATGAAAATAAAAATATGCAAAAGCAAATGATATGACCAGATAAATATTCAACAAACAATATGTAGCATATAAGTGGAATCTTTGACATGAAAATGATACATGACTACAAAAGAAGAGCAGTATAATACGAACCATTCAAAATATTTCTTATCGTGCCATTGGGACTCCTCCACATAGACTTTAGGCCAAATTCCTTAACTCTGCCCTCATCTGTATAGAAGAACAAAGGTCAGAATAAACTTTCTAAAACTACTTATGTCACAAGCAACTTAACATTAAGAACTAAAACATGTGAAAGAGTTCCATCATTGTGTCTTACATTTTTAAGAAAATTCTAGAAAATAATAGCTTCAAGAGATACATTGATTGCTAATTAATTATTTGATCATGTCATTGATCCAAAAGGAAAAGAATGCACACGGGGGTAAATAGTAGATATTGCTTTACATTATTCTCCAATTTATGAGTAATGATCATTACGTAAAGGCACATCATATGATGTGTTCAAAAAATGAAAAGGATAATTTGGACATGAATTATTGTCATGCAGAATTATTAGCTACATTTATATGGATGGGGCAAAGACATCTTAACTGGTATTAGATACAATAGCCTGAATGAACTTGACACATCTACATATGAATGTAAATAATTATAAAAAAAAGTTTACATAGAACTATTTTTTTATCAATAACAGAATCAATTTATTAATGGACAATAATATTACAACAATCCGGGAAGAGGTAAGGAGGCTTAACTCTCCCAAAAAAGAGAAAAGAAAAGAAAATTACAATACAGCCCAAAACATATGTTCCCTTCCCACCACCCTTGTTTCGTCAATGCATCTGAAAAATCATTTGCAGTCCTCTTCACCCATTGAAACTGAACCTCCAACCCTCTAGTTAGTCATTTAGCCTCCCTTCTCTCATTTGCATATTTCCACAGTCCATTGTCCTTCTGTAACCAGCTTTGGGTCTCCTTCCATAATTAGTCTATGAATACTCAGCTCCTTTGTCTTCCTTAAGCCTTCCATTAAGGCACATATCTCAGCTCTTATAGAGTCACCATTCCCAATGGGGCCTGAAAACAAAGCAATCACTTTACCATTCTCATCTCTGAACACCCCACCAACACCCGAGGGCCCAGGATTACCTTCACTACTGCCATCAAAATTTAATTTTACACACCCTGGGCCTGGTGGAGACCTTAAGGGAGAGGCAACTGATGAGAAAGGAGTTGAATTTGCCACTTCCAGCCAGCTATTCAGAAGCACAACTGTAGAGACATTAGTAAACATATCCAGAGACTTTAGCCAATGCACCACCCTAACCATAATTACCTCAATGATACCTTCTTTGCTCCTTTTTTTTTTATCAATAACTCTGAAAAGATTTCATTAATTAGAAAACATTAGGATACAACAAGAAGTTGTGAAAGAAGCCAGCTTTGGTAAGCTGACCCGGAACAGAATTTACAAATGTGCCCAAAACATGTGTTCTTTGAACCCCTTGCTTTGCTAAGCTATTTGCCAAACTGTTGGCAGATCTCCTAACGAATCCCACCTGGATTGACATGTTCCTTGACATCCATTTAAGTCTTCGGAATTCATTCCTCAACTGCCATGCCACCCCTTCCCCTTTCTGCAACCATTTTATCACAGTTTTTTTGTCTCCCTCGAAGATCAGTCTATTAATACCCAACTCTTTAACCCTTTCAACCCCATATGTTGCAGCTAGAAACTCTGCCCTTGCCACATCACCCTGCTCCATAGGACCGGAGTACAAAGCAATAAAGTTTCCATTTACATCTCTAATGCCCCCCCCCAGTGCCTGAAGGGCCTGAATTACCCACACAACTCCCATCAAAGTTCAGCTTCTTCCAACCATCTGTTGGAGGAGACCATGCCTCAAAAAACTAATGTCTCGTAGATGATGAGGCAGCAATAAAACCTTGGGTATTAATACAACCATGAAATTCTTCCCAACAGAAAGCACTGATTTTAGGAGGAGTAGGATAGGAGGGCTCCAAATTTCTTTGACTGGGAAAAGATGAGAAGAGGGAGTGGCAACCAACGATTGTAGAAGAGATTTACAAGAAAACGACCCATCAGAATTAGGACCCCAAATCCTAGAATCTGACCCACCTTCTCCAAGAAAACTGAATTCAGCAATCCTAACAGCTCGGACACTGCAAGAAGTTCAGACTCTCTAAGGTTCCTGTTAAAGCCAAAGTTCTAATTCAACCCTAGAAGGTGAGATGGTTGACTTAGGAAATCTGAAATAGGTCTACCCTTGAACCTGGACAGATCGCAAAGAGAAGGAAATTTCTCACCCAAAAGAGTATCCCCAATCCACACATCCTCCCAAAATCTGATTTTCCTACCAAAAGACAAGTCATACCTGATATGATTTAGGAAGGTAGGGAGAACATCATGGGTGGCCTTCCCGGGAGCAGCCAAGGTAGCCCTACAGAGACATCCAGCATCCATCCGTTGCTCGACATGCCATGAATGTTTGCAACAACTTTGTGCCATAATTTATCATTTTCATTCTGAAACCTCCAAAGCTATTTGCAAAGCAGAGCTTGATTCTTCAGCCTAACATTACCAATTTCCAAACCCCCTTCCACCTTCAATTTCATCACCTTTTCCCATCTAACCAAATGATCCTTCTTTTTTTCCCCTATCTCCCAAAGAAAATCCCTCATGATTTTTTCAATTTTCCTCACTATCCCTTGTGACATCCTAAACACTGACATGTAGTAGTACACTGGAAGATTTGCTAAGATAGACTTGATTAGAGTTAATCTCCCCCCCCCAATGAGATATAGTTCCTTTCCTACCCCGCCAAGCGTTTCTCGATCCTTTCCACCACCGGAAACCAATAACTAGCAAATCTAGGGTTGTCTCCCAGGGGTAAGCCCAAGTATTTCAATGGCCACTCTCCTTTCTCACAGCCTAGGGAATCTGCCAAAAACCTCACTTCATCCTCTTCAATGTTGGTTCCAACCAATAAGCTCTTTGACCAATTAATCCTCAAGTTAGACATCCTCTCAAAGAGTTTCACAACCAGCCTCAAATTTTCCACTCCCTCCCTACTTTCTCCATCACAAAAAATAAGAATATCATCTACAAACTGTAAGTGAGTGACCAAAACATTATCCCTCCCAACTGACCAACCCCTGAATAGCTGCAAACAATTTGCTCTCGAAATCAATTTACTTAGGGCTTCAGCAATCAAAGTAAATAGAAAGGGAGAAAGGGAGTCACCCTGCCTAAGCCCACGGAATCCGTCAAAGAAATCATATACTCATGAATTAAAGTATCGATACGCCTCTGCGTATCAGAAGAGGCATATCGGTACTTAGATACACACAGAATTAACTATTTTTTTAGTTTTTTTTCAAATTTTGGTTTTTGGGAAGTTAAAAAAGGGTTTTTTATTAAAAAAGGGTGGGGTTTGAACCTTGCATACACTATCCCATTAACTATTACTGAATAGTGACTAGTTTGTAAACAGCCCTTAATCCATTTACACCACAAATTTCCAAAGCCACACCTCCTCATAATATCAATCAAGAAGTTCCAATCCACTAAATCATAGGCTTTCTCCAAATCCAGTTTAATAGCCAATCCTTTCCTTTTTAATCTCTTTTGAGCCTCCACACATTCATTGGCAATTAAGATTTGATCAATAATTTGTCTATCCTATACAAACGCCCCATGAGATTGACAAACAAGTGGGAGGATCACCTTCTTAATCCTCAAAGATAACACCTTTGCTATCACCTTGTAAATACTAGTGACTAGACTTATTGGTCTAAAATCCCCTGGATGGTTGGCATTGTTCTTTGGGATCAATGCTAAAAATGTAGAGTTCATACCCGAACTTATCACCCCTCTTCTATAGAATTCATTGAACACTCTGAGAAGATCTCCTTTAATTATGTCCCAACAGTCTTGATAGAATGCCATTGTGAAACCATCGGGTCCTGGTGCTTTTGATCTGTTCATAGAAAAGACCGCTTCCTTAATCTTTCCCTCTTCAAACCTTTTTCCAAAACTTGGACTTGAGTTTCCCCCAATGTCTCCCAATCAATACCTTCAATCCTCCACCTCTCAACTAGGGGGCCTCTATAAATAGACCTAAAATGCTCTGAGAATGCATTAGCAATCTCACCTTGGTCCATGATCTCACTTCCCCCCACCAATAAAGAAGTAATCATGCACTTCCCTCTCCGTCCATTTGCAATGGCATGGAAAAATTTTGTATTTCGATCACATTCTTTGATCCATCTCTTTCTTGATTTTTGCTTCTAGCATATTTCCTCCCTCAATAAAGTCTCCCCTAGATCTTTCTTCAAACACCATCTCAACTCCCTTTCACCTTTACCTAAAGTTCCTTCTACCTCTTTGCTATCAATTGCCTCAATCTGAGAAATCAAATCAGATTTCTTCTCCTCCAACCTTCCAAACTTCTCCCTATTCCACTCCTTGATCTCCTTTTTCAACAATTGGAGTTTCTTTAGGAACTTTTGGCCTTCCCACATTGGAGACGGATCCAAGCTATTCCACCAAACCTTGACTTTCTCTTAAAAATCCGGGTGAGTGAGCCACATATTTTCAAATCTAAATGGAGTTGGGCCACCATCATTGATTCTCTCTCTCAAACAAATTGATGGACCAATTGTCTAAGGTGATTCTAGGTAGATTTAACTAACCCTTGCCAATGCTCTTCCCAATTGGGTGAAACTAAAAACCTATCAAGCTTGGATAGAATAGGGGTTGTTTGAAGGTTTGACCAAGTAATAGCAAGATTGCCCCAGGAGAATATCTCTCAGCTCAAAAACTTCAATAAAGAAATTGAACTTTCTCATACTCGATGTAGTTCTTTGCCTACCCCCAATTGTCTCACTCACAAATCTTACTACATTGAAATCTCCCCCTAGACACCAAGGTCCTTCCCAAAGTCCCCTAATATTCCCAATCTCCTCCCACATTTTATTCATTCCTTTATATGAGTTTGGCCCATAGACATTCGTGAGAATCCATTCAAATCCGTCCTGCACACCCTTCAACTTAATAGAAACTAAGAATTTGCCCACTAATTCCTCCTAACATTGAACTGCTTCTTCTCTCCACATTGTTTTTCTTTTTTTTTTTTACTAGTAAAAATCTTTCATTAATAATAGAGAGATTAAGATACAATAGC